AATAGACAGTCCTAAACAAGCTCTTAGGATTTAATCTATTAATAGCATTAAGAGGGGAGAGACCCAATTCTGGTCAGCGATCTCACAAGCTCGGACCGTTTAAACCAGATCATACATTTTCCTAACATAGATCGAAAACTTTTTTGCAATCAATTTCTATTAGTTGCCACCATGATCAAACTTACCAATCATATATGAAACTGGAGGTTCAATCGGCCATAGATCATTCTCATTGAATGAGCAAGGGCGCCTTCTTGCTTAATCAATAAAAATAATCTTCACAGTTAATCGCAGAAAACATATGAATACCCATAAATAATGAATTGAAATAAAAATCAATTAGATCTCACAATGTTTATAGAATCAAAACTTCCCTAACCCTTCAACCAGGAATTAAAACCTCACAGACACTTCATGATGAAATCGCAGCTTCCAGATGAGAGGGGGCAAACTCTACTTCTTCCTCCTTGGTTGCTGATTGCTCTTCTTGAAGGCTGAAGCTCTCTTGGAGGATTTGATGATGCCTTGGGTGCTAGTCCACCCCCTTTATATAGACTTAGGAGGGAGCTGTCTCCTACTCCTCTAAGGAGTTCTTTCTTCATTGGGAGTTTAGTTCTCTAATAGATAATGCCTAGATTAGATCTAATCTACTCCTATCTCTTAACTGGTAATCTTAATCTCTTTTATCTTTCTAGAAATATAATATAAAATTGAATCTAATAGGACTCTTTGATGTTTCTTATTTTTGCATTCGTATTGAGCTTCCTCAACGAATTGGGCCACTGCAAGGCTTCTCTGTGAACTGGGCTTCTCTGCGAATTGGGCTTTTGCTGCGAACTGGGCTTCTCTGCGAATTGGCTTAGACTTCGGGCTCGATTTTGACCTTGATGCAGTCCGAATCTATCAAAACTCAAAACATGAAAACTGTAGAGTTTTTCCTACCATCGGATTACTTGACCTGTAGGTGCATTTTATGCTCCATCTTACCATCGGATTACTTGACCGGTAGGTGCATTTTATGCTCCATCCTACCATCGGATTACTTGACTGGTAGGTGCATTTTATGCTCCATCCTACAAATTGTAGCAATGGTAAAGTATTTTCCATGTTTACTTAAACCTGAATTTAGGACTAGCTTAAAAGGGAATGGCTTTAGATAGGTCGTGCACTTCTTGATCATATTTATTTACTCAGTTCAGAAGAATCTTCCCAGAACACTGTTTCAATTGATTCCAAAAGAGTTGATTTTTTTTAATAAAATGCAGAAAAACACGACCTAAATCAAATTTTAAAACACAGCCTAAATCCCCTCCCCCACACTTGAAACTTACATTGTCCCCAATGAAAAGAAAAAGTGGAAATAACTAAACTATAAATGCAAACACAAGAAGAAAAAGAAAAAAAAAAAAAACAAACTTCCCTATTTTTAATCATAAACCGGATCCTCCAGGTCTTGTAATTGTAACTTCCGGTGCTTTCCCCTTTCATCTATCATGGGTGGGTTCAAATCTGGAACCTGCAAAATAGAGGGTAAAAGTTTACTGTCAAAAGTCAACAACATAATATAAGGAGCATTACCTGACTGTTGTAACTCTGGAGAACCATTCAATGCTGCAACAGTTTATTGCAATTTAGAACTCCAGGTTTACTCGTCTTTCTCAGGATGCTTACTAATGGTGATTTCCAATACATCCTTCCCATCAAGTTTAAAAACCTCTTGTGCTGAAGAATCAATCACATCAACGAAATAAACAGGATTATCATCAGTAGGATATTTCATGTCATCATAAATATTAAACTTAACAATCTTACCATCAAATTCCATGGTAAGTGTCCCCTTATGCACATCGATTTTAGTCTTGGAGGTGTTAAGAAATGGCCTTTCCAACAAAATTGGAGTTGGATTGGAAGAATCATCTTCTTCCATATCAATCACATAGAAATCGGCAGGAAAGACCAGATTATTAACTTGGACCAAGACGTCATCCAAAACCCCCTTTGGGTGTGTAGTAGATCGATCAGCGAGTTGTAAGATCACACCCGTCTCTTTCAGTGGTCCGAGATTCATGGTCATGTAAATAGAATGGGGCATGACATTTATCGAAGCTCCTAGATCTAACATTTCTTTTTTGATCTGGACATTTCCTATTTTACAGGGGATAGTGAACATACCTGGATCCTTGCATTTAGGGGGTAATCTCTTTTGGAGAATTACTGAAACATTTTCTCCTATATGGACTTTCTCATCGCCTTTCAGCCTTCTCTTAGTGGTGCACAACTTCTTAAGGAATTTATCATAGCGGGGTACCTGCTTGATTGCATCAAGGAGGGGGGTATTTACCTCAACTTTGCGGAATGTCTCGATAATATCCTTGTCTTGCTCCTCCTTCTTGGATTTTGCAAATCGGCTAGGAAAAGGTGGAGCGATGACTATGGCTTGGGGTTGCTTTCCGCTTGAATTTTTTTGGGGTAATGGTGTCTCCTTTTCTTTCTCTTCTTTAGTTGTATCTTTAGATGCTTCTTCACTAGGTTCATTCAGCTCCTTCCTACTTCTCTGAAGGGATGAGAGATCCATCATATGGATGGCCGAACCCTACAAGACGGTAGGGCGAAATTTCAAAAATTTCTCTCTCCCATGTGGTAATCACATTCCCTGTTTTAGAAAAACTGCATTTTTCAAGGATCAATCTTGAACCAAGAACCGAACCAGATTTGAACCAAAACAGTAGGAGAGGGATATACCTGATACGAAGATGCAATATCTCCTAAAGAAGGTGTTCATGCCCAAAGAAAAACTCCAAAGACTACTCCCACTGAAGATGACACAGTGAATGGTGGAGCAGAATCAGCAGGGCCCGTCCAACGAACCGAATTCTTCAACAAGAACTTGAGGAAGGCAGTGAGCACGACTTCTGATCAGCCTTTCCCCAAAGATTGATATCAAGGCACCTCTTGATCGCTCCTACAAAGGATGGAGATCGAACTGGCAGTGTGGCGGCAACTGGAGGAAATCGCAGGGAGAAGATGTTGCTGTCACACTGTTGCTGTCTTCTCTCTGGGTGCTCTGAGATCTGATCTCTGAGATTTCTAGGATGCTTGGGATGGGCTGAATGGTTCACCCCCTCCTCCTTTTATAGGCTTAAAGAGAGCTCCTAATCTCATTAGGAGTTTCCTAATCCAAATCTGTATTTGGATAAGGAGTTCTCTTTAAGAGATAAGGATAAGCCTTTATCTTATCTGCAGTTTAGATCAGCTCTCTTCTAATCTCATTAGGAGGTTTCCAGATCTGAATTGAGATCTGGACTCTTTGAGTGGATAGAGTAAGACCCTATCCTATCTGCTAATTTAATCCCAGATCCGCCCCCTTATTTAACTAGTCAAACTAGGCCAGTTTGAAATGGGCTTTATGCCCAATAAGTCTAAGTGCTCAAGCTGCTTCCAACCTGCTGCTCAGTTGGGCTTCTTTGTATGGCGTGGGACCCAAACATTGATCTACACATCAACCACATGGGTTCAGCCCAACCTCTGTTACAAGGCCTGGCCGAATTCACTGAAAAGACAGTGAACCCCCTGAAGCCCATCATAAAAACTCCTTATGGGCCCAACACTTACACTAAGTGGTCCCTAGGCCAAGCCACCTTATAAAAACCCAATGACTGTGGGCAGATGCAAGATTATCCCATCAGGT